CGGTGGTTGTTTTCAAGAGATAAGTTTTCAAATTGTTTCCATTTGATAGCTTAGAGGTTGGCTCAGCTGTTTGGCGCGTTCGTCGTTGGTGGTGAGAGTTAAAAGGTCAAGGCCAAAACAGGTCTCTTGCATTCTTGCATTCGCCATTCGCATCTTTGCTGCTGTCGCATCGCATCATAGCATCGTTTCGTCTATCGTCTCGTCTCGGCTGAGTAACTCAACACACATCAACTTCACTCGTTTTTTATGACGTTGTCGCTGGTGAATGCATATTGGTAAGTTTATAATTATATTGTTTTACGGAAGGAGGGATATAGTCTGCTACCGAACTTCCATCAAAGCCTCGACTAATCAGAGGTGCTCTTTGGTCACCGGCTCCTGAAAGAGTGGCTCCGATTGGCGGAGACTTTATTTATGGTCTGGGAGCAGACGATAAAACCCGTTTCGATTTCGATTGATTACTTGCCTAGGGTGGCGGAGTGTACTGGGAAACAAAACAAAGCACCAAGCAAAATATATGCTTTAAAGTCGCGGTTTTAGTTTATTTCTATCACAGTGCTATGTGAATGTATTGATGCATTGAAGCAGGCTACCCATTGATTCAAACCATGAACCATGTCAAGTTGTTCTTCCTGGCCGTATAGTGTAGTTTTCGTTTAGTGCTTTCTGCTTTTGTTGTGTTTCCACGCTACGCTCCGCCTCTCTGGGTAAGTTGTCTATTTAATTGTAGTAACTATTGTTCATGGTTGCTGTTTTTTTGCCTGACAGATAATGCCAGTTCATCTTGTTGCCCAGGAGTTGGGCACAAGGGCCCGGACTTATTTTTACCACATTGAAGAAGATGGCTGGCAGTACCATCTCAGCTATGAAAGGGATGCATCATCTTACTTCAAATGTGTCCGAAAGAGCAAAGGTTGCTTGGGCCGTGCTACCTATGACAGGGCTGAGGGGTTCCTGCACTCATCCCCTCATGACCATGATGCTGATATCCATTATCCAGACGAAATGGCAATGAGACGAAATGTTCTGTCTCGTTGTGAGAATATGGAATATATCACATACCAAAACATCATTTTGGAAGAAGGCAGAAAGTGAGTACTTGGTTTTGTTGCCTTCCATATATTCTAATATTCTTGTAGATGTAATTTACTAAAGCAATTGCTGTTGTATAGGTTCCCTCCTGAAGTGCGAGCCAGGGTTACATTTGCACGAATGCGCACACCCATGCGGAATGCGCGCATGCAGCGGTTCCCTCCACCACCAGCCACTCTTGAGGACTTGACTGCAGTTCTTATGAACCCGCAGTACAGTGTTCTTACTATGACACATGATGGTCTTGACAACATCTATGCTGGATCGGTGACTGATGCTGATGGGTTCCACCACGTGCTTTTCATGAGCCAGAGGATGCTTGAGCTGACACGTCGGCTGCGGCTGCAAGAAAAACATGACCAACAAGCAGGCCCGCCCTTCCGCGAAACGATGTTGCCAGCTCCGCTTTGCT